ACTTGCTGTACTGAGAGACATTATGAAATACGTACACTTTTAAATTTTTATTTATTTATTTATTTTTATCTTAAAGATCTTAAGTATGCATATGTACATTTAATTGAGTTCCAAATTATTAAAGATGATAAATATTGTGTAAACATGCTGTTCGATATATTTGACTGTTTATCACCTCATGAGCTTTGAAAGCTATTGGAATAAAATAAGATAATACGATGTCTACTTTCTATTGTCTACAATATGTTTTTTAACATTTCTTCCAATAGATTTAAATGACATCGATTTACAATGCATAGATACCTGTAAACCTGTATGACCCTTACTATGAGATTAGTGGATTACAATAATAATTTCAACACAATATATTTGTTAACAAAAGAGCGCATGTCAATCTATTGTTATGCAAAAAACGCTTAGGGTCAGAGCAAGGATTTATCAATAATAAAAAAAATACTTTATGCATTATTTTCAAACGCCTTATCAAAGACAACCTCTCTCGGCATTTTCACTGTTTCATTTAGTAATACATGTTTTATGGATTTTTTAAAAATGTATCAACCGGGCACTGTCAACTCTTCCTTAAGTTACTATTAAGTTTGCTTCACATCATTGAAAACTCGGCATCTTTTTTTTATAAGAATCAATTTTCTTCAATAAATAAACACTAAAGAGACAGTTTAATTCTTTTTTTTTCTTAACGTTACACTAATACGTATATTTCCGACAATGATTTTTTGCCAGTCATAAAAACAGAAAAAACCCAAACGTCATTGCAACGGAATACCAGCTTATCTTTCATGGCCTGGTTTTTTTTTAAAATAACCATTTTTTTGTTAGCTATTTAAACGACTGTCTTACATTAAAAGTGTTTAACGTCTCTTTTGAACCAGAAGGAAAATAGATTCAGCAATCTTAACACTTCAACCATTTGTGTTATTTTCTCGAAACTCAGTTGTCTTTTTTTGGTATGTAATCTCTAAAGGGGGACAACTCACGATAAATTTACACCCATTTCCCATGTTCAGTAACCTCCCATTTCGCCGTGTGCGTGTTTTAGGGCGCAATGTAAATAGTTTATTATCAAAGACATAGTTGTCAGATGACATCGAATTAGCACGTGGAAAGCGTGACACAAGCACGAAACATAGATAACGGACGCGGAATTACAGATTTAACGCTAATACACATTGTTCGTGCATTAAAAGCCCTCGGACTTATTAAATCCCCCTCCCTGCCGACTCGGGCTTTAAATGAGCCCTTGTGCAGATGTAAATGCACGAAACAAATGTGCATTAATCTTCCAGTATTGTTTGTACGGTGAACATATAAGTAATAAATATACTATAAAGTATACCTCTCAATCAAACATAAAAATGTGGCCATTTTACACGGTACGGTATATTATCACGCAAATCAAAGAATATAATTCATTACAATGTTATAAGCATGACAAAAATAATACATCAAATTTTAGACAATATAGCTCGTAAATCCCAGCACCATAATCAGGCCCTCTTTTATCATCTTTATATTTACGAAAGGTATTTAAGAAAGGTAAAAACATTCAAGATCCAAGTTAAATATTACATGTTTTGTGCGGTTAAAGACTGATTCTGCGGTATTTCATCACCGTAGTTCTACTGCGTTACTAACGCAGTAACGGCTGTTCTTGCAAATGTTGACCAATTTTGGTTATTTACTTTGCCGATTGTTATACGTTTATTACTTTATTTGTTCACCTCACATAATTTTACTTTTAAATACATTTCTTTACAATTTGGAAAATCCTCATAATAACAGGAAGTGGAACAACTGAAGGTCGTCCATCAAACACGGCTAGATTAGACAAAATGTTATAGCAGATGACATTTGATTGTCTAAAGGTTGAGATCGGGGGAATTTATAACGTTATCAATATTCAATTTGGTTATACAATAATAAGATAAGTCTGTGTAAACAGAGCTAAATATATAACCAATATAATTAATATAATTTTGTCCGATCAAGTTAGTAACTTCATTTTACATCATTTGCTACTTTGTTTCGTATTTGTTTGTTTGCTTAGTGTTTAAACTTTTTGTCGTTGATTTTAACACTTAGACACATATAGATATTTCAGATTCCTTCCAGAAAAAAAACATGTTTCAAATTATGCTGGTTTTATTCCCAGGCCTTGACTTTATCTGGTTACCTTTTACCCTAGAGAGCACAGAAGGCCATATGGTGTAAATCTATTTATGTATTGTCCGGATCAGGGAAAGAGCAGTCTAGATCGAACTTGTTTGGCATGAGGAAAATTTTTCGTTGGCGAGAACTTCTCCTTCGCCATAAAATATTCGCTACGAAAGCATACGAGTCCTGATTGGTTCGAAAGCATCACGTGATCTTAAGTCATGACCTCATTGGCTAAGAAGTTAATTTATGTAGAGAGCTAAAAACTGATGTTGACCGTAACAATTCTGTAATAGGAAAAATTTGTAATCAAAAGAAAAAAGGGGGCTAACGACATAAATTATTTTATGTGTTCATAAAATCTTATTTATGCGACCGCATTTACAGTTAGCACACGTCTTGTATAGTGAACTTGAAATTTTAATAGATAAGTTCCTTGTTGCGTTGTTAAGTGTTTTGAAACTGTCTCAAAGGATTTGAACCCAAACTTCATTTTACCATAAAGAACGTCTAACGACTTCTTTGTTGTCGCGTTGCTGTTTTGTTGTCAATTATCGGAATGGGATAATTGTATTAGTTTATACAAATTTATTTTAGTTCGATTGTGTTGGAAGTATAAGCTTATTGAAACAATTTCGGATCCGTTCCTGGAACCAACCAGTACTAAGCAATATGAATGTAAAGTATCTTGCTCAAGGAAACAACGACTTGCCCATGACAGGGTTTGAACCCACGCGGTCAGTAATCCTAAGATTTCTAGTCCGACGCGTTAACCATTCGCCCACACCGCCACGATAATTGTATTCATTAATTGTATTATGGTTTTATATCATAATTTGTTTTCTAAAGATTAAATTCATACAACTGTTTTTTTTTAAAGAATTGATCATTTGTAAACAATCATTTCTCATACCTCCATTTGGCATTATTCCTGTCTGTTAATTATATGGGCATGTTTTGCTGACAATTGATCGATCAAGTCTCAGAATTTATGCTTTCTTTGTCAAAATGCGTATTAGTCCAATTTGGGACCACATATCGTGCGTGAAAATTGTTTTGAGTGACAATTTAGCTGTCTGAAACGATGAATGTTTCTTGGATCAGTTACATTTACGTCGAAATCTGCAGAATATAACCATAGCAATTTTAATTGAGAGGCATTTACTAGGTTTTGTCTGTTTTTGTGAAAGACATTCATTTAAAGGAAATACACAAACTGGCAGAAATTAAGATGTCACCTTGATGCGACAATAATGTAAACGCATATGAGTGAATTTGTTTAAACATTCTCCAGTATGATACTGTGTTATGTCAAGTTTAGATGTTTGTTATTTAAGTCCATGAGCGACATAATGCTATAATGACTTTACAAAGAACCATTTTGAATTTTGCATAATGATTCAAGTAGAGATGGTTTGTTTGTTTCATTTTACGCCTTTTCTAACAGTATTTCAGTCATATAGGCGGATAGTTTCCCAACCATCGTTCCTGGAGAGTTACACCAGTACTAGACTAACTTCCTCCGCGCTAAACTACCAAAGCATCTCCCGGGGATCGAACCTAGAGATGGTTCTAATATAACAGTAATGTAACGGGCCTTTTATCTATGCGTGTGGGCCTATATTTCTTTCTTTTATTAGCTGTAACTGAATTAACTTTTTCCGATCATCGGAACTAGATTAAGTGTACGTAATATCAGATATATTTGAAGATGGTAGTTGACTTGTGATTTGACAGAAGTAACACCAAAAGTATGTGAGTACGTGCTAAATCAAAAGTATCTAAAATCGTACTAATCGTACTGCTCTAGTTTTGTTTATACTGGGTGCCGGCTTTACCATATGTCCCAGACTATCGGCCCCTGTTATGTCGCTGGTCGTAGAGCCTGCAACTGAGGACTTAGTTCGCCTGCAACTGAGGACTGAGTTCGCCTGCAACGTCGCCGACCGTAGAGCCGCAACGGAGGTCTTCTCATGCCGTCTTTCGTCGTAGATCTTCTCTAGGACCCAGTTCTTCGATCTTGAACGCAGTAGACAATATGGAGGAAAGGCACCTCTTCCGGGAGCAGCAGCTCTTTGTAGGGCCACACCCATCGCCGTTGTTTAGGTCACAACAGCTAAGCGACCTAACTAGGTCACCCATCTGGTGTGACCTATGCATTCCGAGCGAGGTGCACGCCGCGAAAGGGAAGTCGGAAGTAGAAATTTTGAAAAGGAAGATTCTCTATTTATAAGGCTAATATATCTTTTTAACCCCCACTCCCTTGTATAATCCATCTATTTTTATGACCTGTTATTTAAAATTTTAAATCTTTCCTGTTTCCTTATCCATAAATATGAAAAAATGTGTATTTATATAAGAATATTATTGCCATGTATGTATATATTTTTTGTATATGTCTATATGATGTACCATGCATACGACTAAATAAACCTTCTGTTCTGTTCTGTTCTGTTCATAAAATGAGACAGTTAATTGTATAACTGGTCAATATGAACTATGGCAATTAACACCTTAGGGAATAACTAGTATTACTCGGCAATTTGATGTTTTCAATTTCTAAATAATTTAAAGAAAATAATTATGAATAATTTCATCTGTAAAGACTAAGAAAATACATGTATATAACTTAACAATATCATAACCCCTCTATGATAACCCCTCTTTGAAAAATAATTATTATTTATGGTATACTGTTTGGTGAACAAATTGGTGTACTATGTGATGTATGTTGTATATTTCTTCATCTCCTACTTGTGTATTTCTTCATCTCCTACGTGTAATTAAAAATACATGTGTTTGAATAAAACTTAATAGACGAAACACCCGTTTGAGATATTTAATTTATCATCTGATTTAATAATCTAATAAATAATCAAACAAACACTGTATTCAAATGGTGTAAACTTTGCTCTTGATGTTTAGGTAATGATATTAAGGAAGATTACAGGTATTTGAATAATTTCCGGACCACGTATTTTTAATTTTTTATGCTACTGGGTGATTTTTAAGAGACCAAACATAAGTAACAATATGGTATATACAGTCAAGCCCGTGTTAAAGACCAGATCTGAATAAAGATAAACCTAGATAAATAATTGCCAATTTTTGATAACCCATCATTGATGTAATCGAAATGTCTAACCCCCAAATTAAGACCTTTTGTATATAACGACCACGTCGTCACAGGTTCGACTGTATAACCAAAAATTGTTTTCTCAAAATACAAGCTTACAAAATGATAAATATTTTTCTATTAAGATGGACTTTTTACACCGGAAATGGTCTATATACAAATTCCGGTCTAGTATCGGCTTTAGGACATGTTCTCCTTTCATTCCATATATAGACTAAACTATTCGCACTTAGCTCATGAGCCGTGATAATACGGTTTCTATAGTTACAAGGGTCAAATTTTACATACTGATTGTTAAATCCATCTAATTTTAGCGGAGTTACTCCGAACCTTTTCAAACAAATTGCAACATAAACGTCCTCGAGATAGAAGAATGGCACGTTTGGTGATTCTTGAAGGATACCGGAAACTACGTCACGTGACATAACATATCCGGTTCCGCTGCACATTGAAGGAAACAAAGGATGTCGGTATTGTACAAATGAAACGTACCACTTTGAGGTCATATCTCTGTGAGGAGAACTTGGACCCCAGCACATGCCACCCATAAAGTGTTTACTAGGAGCCGCTTTGAGCATTAAAGGAAGTAACTCTGTATTAACATACATGTCATCGTCTGTTTTCATGACGTAATTTGCTTTCTTGCAATAATCATCACTCCATTGCAATGATGTTATTGTTTTGTAAGTTAAATTTGCATATGTGTCGTTAAAATCAAATTGAATTATATCACTGTACTTCTTACTCTCGTTGAGAAGATGAGCGTTTTCAACGGAATCGTTTCTATTTCCAAACACAAATACCACTTTCATTTTTGAATCCGGTTTATTGCATTGTCCACCCCAAGTGTTTCTTATAGCGTTTCTAGAATCCTTCCTTGAAAATGTCGAAGCAATCATGAATAAAAGTTCGACATCACCGTCACATAATGAAGGCTCGTTTATTATCTTTCTAAAATTCTTTTCAAAACATCCCGTACATACATCCGGGCGACTTGTTGCACCAGAATTAGCAATATAATGTAAATGTAAATGTTTTTCGGAAATTCTAACTTTTGATATTTCACTTGATATTTTGTAAATATTTTCTGATATATTCCAATTGTGTGATATTAAAATTAATTGAAAATAAAATATTGCGATAGTAAGGAAGAAAACCTTAGTTCGTTTTAAATTTGGTGACATGTTAAGATAAAAATTGAACGTCATTTTTGAAGATACCGATATATTTCGTGCTTCTTACAATCATCGCTGCATTTTTGGATAATATGCTGATAAAGAATTTTGTCTACTCATAAGTCTGATCCAAGCGATTCCATTGGTTAGTCATAATATCACGTGACAAGTTTATTGTGTAAACAAAACACTTTGTTACGGTTGTTGCTTTAGCTCGATTTATTCAGTTTTAACTGCTGATAAAGCTAAATAATGTTTATAGTTACGTCATCGACCGTAACATTTCTGTACTGCACGTGAAAACTTTGAGTTCCGAATATTTAACGTCAACGTGTGATCAGAAACGCGAGTCTTGTTTATTTTTGTTTCCAATACTTTGGAAGCTCTTCTTGATGTCGTCTGCCAAAAACATTCGCAACAACAAAGTATGTTCCTTTCAAATTCAGGAATCTGAAAATAGAGAAAATCAAAAATAGTATTATTGATATAAGATAGTTATGCTTGTAAAAATATGAAGCGTCTATAAACCGAGATCATCTTTTATTTTACGTAGTAAAAGTTGTTAAATTGAATGGACAAAAAAAGAAAGAAAAAAGAAGTATATTGCTGACCTTGACCTTGTACAAGTGGCGGACAAGTAAAATGATTCTTTTAAGTTGATATAATAAACATGTACATTATTTAATTTTATAACAACTTGTCCTACGATTTTTAACAAAGTTGTTCGAAATAAAAAAAAAGCAAATTGAAAAGATATATATTTATACTATCAATATTACATATCATGGCACATCATACTATAAATATTACTTAAAATGGCACATATTACCGTAAATATTACTTATAACAAGAGCCATGTCAACATGGCCATCCCCCGCCGAATGTGTTTGCTCATTGGAAGAATGTATATGTAGTACAGCAGAATAATTCCATTTTAAGAGGTCTTTTGGTAATGAAAACTGATGGCTATAGTGATTACAGATTTGAAACCTATGTGAATACTGATGGCTGAAAATAACAAAGGGCAATAACTGAAAAATAATGCAGGGTAGGTTATCATTCTTGTGTGATGCATCCTCCTCAGTAAAATCTATCCACCTATGAAGTTTCAAGTTGATACCTCAAATACTTTTTGAGAAAAAAATTGAAATGAAAAATTAAGTATGAAAAATAACAAAGGGCAATAACTCAAAAATTATAAAGGGTTGAGTTATCATTCTTGTGCACTGCACACCTCCTGAGTTAGATCTATGCACCTATGAAGTTTCATAATGATATCTCAAAGGCCTTTTGAGTTATGCTCTGGACAAAAATTAATTTTGAAAAATAAAAAAGGGCAATATCTAAACAATAATGCAGGGTAGAGTTATCATTCTTGTGCACTGCACTCTTCCTCAATGAGATCCATCCACCTATGAAGTTTTAAGTTGATACCTCAAATACTTTTTGAGATAAGCTCCGGACAAAATAGTATAAAAAAGAACAAAGGGCTTTAACTCAAAAATTGTACAGGGAAGAGTTATTATTCTTGTGCACAGCATTCCTCCTCAATAAAATCTTTCCACCTATGACATTTCATGTTGACATCTCAAACACTTTTGAGTTATGCTCCACTCGGGTGAAAAATTAGGTATGAAAAATAACAAAGGGCAATAACTTTAAAATTATGAAAGGTAGAGTTATCATTCTTGTGCACTGCACACCTCCTGAGTGAGATCTATGCACCTATGAAGTTTCATTTTGATATCTCAAAGGCTTTTTGAGTTATGCTCTGGACAAAAATTAATTTTGAAAAATAACAAAGGGTAATAACTCAAAACTTATGCAGGGTAGAGTTATCTTATTTGTGCACTGCACTCCTCCTCAATGAGATCCATCCACCTATGAAGTTTCAAGTTGATACCTCAAATACTTTTTGAGATAAGCTCTGGACAAAATAGCATGAAGAAGAACAAAGAGCAATAACTCAAAAATTGAATAGGGAAGAGTTATCATTCTTGTGCACAACATTCCTCTTCAATAAGATATATTCACCTATGACATTTCATGTTGATATGTCAAACACTTTTTGAGTTATGCTCCACTCAGGTGAAAAATTAAGTATGAAAAATAACAAAGGGCAATAACTCAAAAATTATGAAAGGTAGAGTTATCATTCTTGTGCACTGCACACCTCCTGAGTGAGATCTATGCACCTATGAAGTTTCATGTTGATATCTCATAGGCTTTTGGAGTTATGCTCTGGACAAAAATCAATTTTGAAAAATAACAAAGGGCAATAACTCAAAAATTATGCAGGGTTGAGTTATCATTCTTGTGCACTGCACTCCTCCTCAATGAGGTCTATCCACCTATGAAGTTTCAAGTTGATTACTCAAATACTTTTAGAGATATGCTCCGGACAAAAATGTCGGACGGAAGGACGGACGGACGGAAGGACGGACGGACGGACGGACGGATGGAGACCATTTCTATATCCCCCGCCGAATTTTCGGCGTGGGATAATTACACATCACACCGTAGACATTACGTATAATGACATATTACCGTAAATATTATTTATAATGGTACATCACACCGTAAATATTGCTTATAATTTCACATCACACGGTAAATAGTACATATGATGGCACATCATATCGCAAATATTACTTATAATGCATAACATACGGTAGACCTTACTTATAATAGCACATTATATCGTAAATATTACTTATAATGGCTCATTGTGTCGTAAATATTAATTTAAATATCATTTCACACATTATTTTTTGTAATCGCATATCATAGTGTAAATATAACTGATTGCAATCAAGTTCAGTCTCATTTTAAATGACATATTTTTGGGTTTATTTTTTGTTTCATCAAGTTAAACTTTTTTTCCTTTAAAAAACAAACAAACAAAAAACTAACAAAAAACAAACAATGCTACAGAAAGAAAAGATAAGTATTTAGATATGATAGATATTTTCTTTATCTCTAAAGTATAATTTTTCAACTGTCTAGTTGTAAAACAGACATTAATTTTGCAATAAACTGCACATACATGTAAACATAAAAAATGCCCTGACGTGTGTTACTTTTCATTTTTAAATGATATGACACGTTTCAAATCTCGTTATCATTCCTGTCACATGTTAAAAATATATTTCTCTTTTCATATATTGATTTCAAAATGTTTTGAAGTATGACAATCAATAAATAAATGGAACAGAGATAAAAACTTATAACATACTTATAAATAAAATATTGAGCAATATTGATGAAATAAAATGCGTATTTTTATTTTCCGTATTTTCACTGCAATTATTTTTTCACCGCAGTGAAACATATTTTCCGCATTTTCACTGGTGTCTTGCCAGACTACTTTCTTCTAAATTCAGCCAATACACAAAATTAAATTGAAATTCTTCCTTATTATAAGGTTAAAAAAGAGAAAGAGTATATAATAAACAGAAAATTCAAGTTTTCTTTAAATACAGGATTTATTTCTCGATATCATTTTCATTTATAATTATATAATAAACAAGAGCCCGGTTTGAGCCGGGTGATGCTCCCCAAATAGGTTTTGGGCACAGGAAAGTACACTTCTTGTAGTTTCAGAGTTATGTCCCTGAAAAAAGTTCAAAGTGCAATAATTCCAAAATTAAGCAAGGCAGAGTTACTGTTCTTTGCACTGCACTTCTAATCAATGTGATCTATTAACCTACTAAGTTTCTTGATGATATCTCTTATGATTTCCGAGTTATGTCCTGGACAACTTCAAAAAGTAAAAATAAACAAAGGGCAATAACTCCAGAATTAGGCAAGGCAGAGTTATGATTCTTATGCACTGCACATCTACCCATTGAGATATATCTACCTACAAAGTTTCATGTTGATATCTCTTATAGTTTTACAGCTATGTCCTGGACAATATTTTTCTAAAAGGGGAGATTATTCAAAAATGAGTCTTGCCAGAGTTATGGTTCTTTCGCACTGCACCTCTACTCAATGAGATATATCTACCTACAATGTTTCATTTTGATATCTCTTATAGTTTTAGAGTTATGTTCCGGACAAAGTTCAAATTGTTAAAATCAACAAAGGGCAATAACTCCAAAATTAGGACAAAAAGAGTTATTGTTCTTATGCACTACACATCTACCTATTGTGATCTATTCACCTACAAAGTTTCATGTTGATATCTCTTATAGTTTTAGAGTTATGCCCCGGACAATATTTTTCAAGGGGAGATAATTCAAAAACCGGGCAAAATAGAGTTATGGTTCTTTCACATTGCACCCCCCCCCCCCTTAATGCCCTCTACCACTGTATGAAGTTCCAACAAATTATCTCCAAGGTTTTTTTTCAAGTTATGCTCCGGACAAGACAACGGAAGGACAGACGGACGGACGGACAAGGCGCCGACTATATGCTCCCCCGAAATTTTTCGGGGAGCATAATAAATTTATTCAAGTTCATGTACATGATGCCGTATGAGTGCCATATTTCATATCCATATATTTATTTTTTAGGGGAACGTAGCCTGGCTTAACATAAATTCCTGTGCAAAATAAAAAGAAAAACTGAATTATGCCCATACACTGGTAAAAAGACAGGTGAGAGTCAAAATAAATTTACATTTTGCTACAATTCCTTGCAATATTATATTATTTACTTCGCATGAAGGATAAATAAATCAGGCTTCCTAAGGAAATTTTTTTAAAAGAGCACCCAGAATTCATCTGTAATGTTCAATTTAAAAATAAATAAATAAACTTTTCTTTTTATATTTTAGACAGATTTATGTTTAATTCTGAACATTGTCCAATACCAACTGTTTTTCAGTCACCATTTTAGCAAAATATAATGTCAATTCAGCTCAACTTGACAAGAAAAATGGATATAATGTCACTAAAGTCGTGTTATTTTGATTTTTTAAAATTTATTCTAAATTTGTAAGGGTCATTCTAATATAAGTAATATACCATAAACGGGATTTTTTTCTGAACAAACACTCTAAACCGGTGATTATTAAAGAGTTTCGGAAACGAACTTTCTAGTCAAGACTTTGTTTCCAGTCCTTTTTTCTAATTTGACATGTATTAATAAGTAATACATGTCCTGGAAAAAAACATGTCCATTAGCTTTCGGTACTTAAAAATGGTTTTATGAAAGACATATTTGAGCCGCGTCACGAAAAAACCAACATAATTGGTTTGCGACCAGCATGGATCCAGACCAGCCTGAGCATCCGTGCAGTCTGATCAGGATCCATGCTGTTCGCTTACAAACCGTATAACAAGAAGAGAAACTGATAGCGAACAACATGGACTGCGCAGGCTGGTCTGGAACCATGCTGGTCGTAAACCCATAGAAAGCAAAGATAACAGTTTCAGATCTAAAGAAAATCGTTGACAATATGTTATTTGTGTTCCTTAACATTAATGGTATTGCGTTAAAGACTG